ATTTTAGATAACTAGCCTATAAACCTACCTTGAATTTAAACAATATTGTTACATCGATACCTGAAGGTAAGTACAATAATTATCAAGACAACAGTTCTGTAAACCTACCTTGAATTTAAACAATATTGTTACATCGATACCTGAAGGTAAGTACAATAATTATCAAGACAACAGTTCTGTAAACCTACCTTGAATTTAAACAATATTGTTACATCGATACCTGAAGGTTAGTACAACAATTATCAAGACACCTACATCCGATGAAAGACAAAGGATCTGCGAACTTCATACGAAAGATTAGTTGGGCACTTTGAAGTAACGGATCGTGATCCTTTTCTTGTACACCTGTATCCATCCCTAAAGCCGTTCTCTCTATCACATCTGTCGTGAGACGTTGGTAAAGGTCATAGATGTCAAAAAATTCACCACATTCAGACTTCTTTTTCACTTTTGAAATGAAAATATCCACAGTATGACTAATGATGGATGTCATCTAGCAAGAAGGGATAGAACAGCTCAAATAAAGTGTTATGTAGTGATGGTAAGAAAAACAAAAATGGAACGTGAATCTGTATGCTCTAGTCAAACCTATTTAAGCTTCCAACAGCAATGGTATATTGATGTTGGAGCAGTAGCGATGGAGAACTGTAGGAACCGCAGAAACACTTAATGTGATAGGACATCTTGAGAATGATAGTAAAATTAATTAAAATAAACAGTTTTAAAATAAAATAAATAATGATATGTCGCTAGTTATTGTTTGTTACGGATTTCGCGAAAATCTACACGAACTTAGCAGTGTCATCACCACTCCTGGGCTACTCTTTTACCAACGAATAGTGGGATTGACCGTCACATTATAACGCCCACACGACTGAAAGGGCGAGGATATTTGGTAGTGACGGGAATTCGAACCCGCGACCCACAGATTGCGAATCGAGCGCCCTAACCACCCGGTCATGCCGGGCCTGTTAGTTATTGCCCAAAACTTTCATTTGTAGATTACTTAAATAAAAATTATAATAACCATAATTTACTTGTTTAATCGGTCATTGTTCATGAAAACTGATTATTCGTATATATATATATATATAGCGCCGAAACGACTGTCATGTTTGTTACATCCTAGCCGACCTGATGAACTCTGGAATTGGGCAAAAGGCTTTGTTGATACTGGAAACAGTAAAAGTAGTATGATTGGGAAATTATAACATATTTACTTCTTTTGTCGATTACTGGTATATGTATAAACACTTACATACAAATGGCTTTATCTATTATTTATTATTACAACATTAAGTAAACCGTCGCACCTGTTTCAGTTTGGCTGTACTAAATGTTGGAGTCAAAATACTTCGGACTTCTTTCCACCTTTGACCTTTAAGGTTGATCAGTTCTTTACTAAAAATGTCTTCTTTTTTACCTTTTAGCGGAATCACCTCCTAGCGGAACAAATAAATAACCCGAAACGTTAGTATTGAAGCACAAATGTCTGATTTAAAGACGTTTCTGGAAATGTTAAAACAAGAATTTTTAATCATTAAAATTCATCCCGAACTTGGAAGATTTGATGCTTTTTCCTGGGAAATATGTTCATTGTTATAATTGTAATATTTAAGTCAAACAAGGTTACAATAAAAGAATACTTAGAACTATGACTTTGAACAAATATCAATAGATCACCAAGAACGTAAACTTACTTTTATCACAAATATTTTCCACTTCCACTTCCCACCCCCCAAAAGATGCAGGATGATCATCTTAACTCGGTATCATAAGCGTTGTAACTGCGCATGTCCAATTGACTTTTAAACTGAAACTTAAAGATTGAGTTATCGAAAACTCTTTGCAATTAAGTGGTGCTCCATTAAAAGTTTGAGTACAAAAAAGTGTATTTTAAATATATTTTTTGAATCTTGTAACGGGCTTACCAAACGTAACTGAAATCTTAACCCTAACTTTAGGAGTGAATAATCTACTGATAATAATAATGTTCTTTAGGGAAATATTTATGTACAATTTGAATCATCAATTCAACAAGTTTCGAGAGAGTAAATCAACATAACTGAAATCTTAACCCTAACTTTAGGAGTGAATAATCTACTAATGATAATAATATTTATGTACAATTTGAATCATCATTTCAACAAGTTCTAAAATAGAGGTATATAACAAATAATGTCAAAGGAAGTTTCATCCAGTAATGTTATCAACATGTAAATAAATATTATTTCACACTAGATGGAGCACCTGTCCTCTGGACGGAAGTTATGTCAATTCAAAGTTAATGAAAGGTTATTTTAGGACATGAAAAGTTGCTTCCCTTTATGTAATTACAAAAAGACGCCCATAAAAACTGCAAGACAAAAAAGGTGAAATGCAAATTTGCATGTATCCCCACATGGACCCAACAAACCTTCATGCCAAATTTGGTGAAGATCCATCCACACCCTGTGAAGTAGTTACATGGGCATACAACAGACAGTACTATTATATTTATATAGATCCATACAAACGAACATTTGTATTTACCAAACAAATGAACTTGAGAGACAGTAACTCATATCAGAAGATTAAAACCTTTCATTAAGATTTAATGATTTCAGTAGTTCAGAATGGTAAAACGTAACAATAAATTTCTCCTACCGGACGATCAGTGAAATTGTGGAAGTCCTTCATTAACACAGACTTCAACAATTCAGGTTCAGCGATAAGCAATACTGGTTTCATACCTTCGTAAAACCTAAAAATAAACCAAAAATATATTTTAATCAGTTTTAAGAATCACTATCGTTATTGATTCTGTGATTTTTAACATCGTAGGCACTATATATCAAACGTTTTCGACGGAAAATTATAATTAAAAATTTTAAACTTACCCTACGACTTTCCCGTATTCCTTAATCCAGTCGTCATGACAGCGCAATGGACCCTGTTACGAAGCGAGACACTTTGAACATAAACAATATAACACAGAGAACTTGCGGGTCTTTAAAGCTTATCATTAATAAAATTAATTTGAACCAATATTATTCAAACACCATTTTTTAAAAATTATTACGTTTAAAAAAACAAACATTTGTAACTTGTGCGCTTATTTTTTACGAACCTTTTTATAAAGTTCTATCAAATTTCCAAACAGCAAACTTGGTGTTGGTCCTGGAACTCCAAGATTTGAAAAGACTGATGTCATTTTGACGCGCCATCTGTAAGTAAATAAAGTTTAAAACTGAAGTCATTTTTCACACATAAGTTATATTAATTAAATTTGTTGTACAATCAAGTGCTGTACAGTAACGTAAGACAAACGGGGAAACTGTGACCCAACTCATAAAAGGTCCACTACTGAGATATATAATGTTAATATTTGGGTGTGTGAGCATGGGCTCGTCTGATGATACTCTGTCAAAACTCGTATAAATCCAGTCGTGAGATACAAAAGTAAACATTATTTGGGCCTGATACACAACTGCAACTCGTGAAAGTCCTAAAGGTAACAGGGCCAGTATTATAATCTTTGAGGTCCTCTACCAGTCACGAAGTAGCCTCTCCCCTCCCCCCACTCCCCACAATATTAAACAATACAATCGGAAATGTGATTAATTTCATTCATAAATTAATTTAATTTATTATTTTAATTACGTATTATCTTTGGCAGGGTTGGGCTAGGTGGGGGGCAGATTATTTTTTGCTCCAGGGCAATTCATACATCACCAATGTTACAATAAAGTAAACGTAGATTCCTGGAGAACAGTGTGATGACCAAAAGGATATTCCTTGTCTCGCACGTGAACGGTATTATTCAATAAAACCAACAAATGAATATACCCTTCAAATATTGTAAATGATCAAAGACAATGAATGACTTACATTTAAAAAATAACAATTTAATTTTTCGTAAAATTAATCTTTAAATTTTAATGAGCAAACTCGGGCGGAGAGGGATCAAAAATTGAACTCTGTTAGCAAATGTTACAAGTTGTTGGACAATGGCGATCTACGGGGTTGTTGTTGTTGTTTGTTATTATGCACAAAGATACACAATGGGCTATCTGTGCTCTGCCCACCACGGGTATCCAAAACCGGTTTCTAACGATATAAGTTCACAGACATTCCGCTGTGCCACTGGGGGGCGATCTACGGGGTAGTCGGTTGGTTGTTTTTAGAGTAAAGCGCCACATTAGGCTATCTGCTGTGTCCACCGTGGAGGATCGAGCCCGGGATTGTAGCGTTGTAATTTACCGCTGTACCACCCGGGGACTAAGGGGTAGTCAGCCGCCTCGAGTGGCATATTGGTGGGTGACAAACTGGAGGAGAGTAGAGCAGGAAGAAAGAATGGTGAGAATGGCTCTCTCTCTCTCGTTTGAATTGATTAAGTCCTGACAGTTAGGACATATAATCAGGACTGTCTTGAAGTAGAGATAAGGAAAATAAAACGTACATATATATATTTATATAGACCTGGGGGGGGGCGGTATTTTAAATGTTTACCTATATCTAAGAATCATCTTTGACCGGTCTTGTTGCCGAATCGAATAATGCTCAAGTTTAAGATCTTGGTTACTAACTTACTTCCCTCCAGTGGCACAGCGGTATCTCTGCGGACTTACAACGCTAGAAACCGGGTTTCGATACCCGTGGTGGGCAGAGCACAGATAGCCCATAGTGTAGCTTTGTGCTTAATTACAAATAAACAATACTAACTTACTTAATGAAAGAACAATATGAATTCCAAGATATATAACTTATCAACAAAATAAACTTTGTGTTAACCACTTAATTCATTATTTCAGGCGAGAGACGAGGACTTGTGGAGTTAGTCAGCTCCAAAGTTTTGTTTTGTTAATTTTTTCGCACAAACACAAACAAACTTAGTGATAATTATTATGGTATTTATCAGGTGAATTAAAATTAATACTTTTTATTTATATCAAGTACATCCAAAAGCTTTTAGCTAGTGTATGTTAAGCCTATTTTTATTTTTAAAATCTAACCCACGTGCCATGATGGCATGCTGACGGCTAATAATTTTAAGTTTCCGTATTAACTTCCTATAATCAGGGCTCAATCATTTCCTGCCATGGTTGATAGTTTTGTTTATTTTTTATGTATATATATAGAATTGAAACGCCTTACCTTATCCATAAAGCAATCAAGCCCAGAAAAATAGCAAAAGAGATAGACCAAATCATTTTCCTTGTTGTTGTTTTTTTCTACTATTACTGTATTAGATAGTGCCTTATTTACACGTTGTTTTTCCACACTCTTGATTTGTAACGGTCAGTTGTGAAGTTTGTTAGATGCTGATGTTGCTATATTGGGATTATATAACGTACGTACATATATACCAAACTTCTCTTAGATCGGGTTTGAGCGACGTGGGAGGGTCAGGTGCTACAACGGTATGGTGACGTAATACCGAAACGAATTTCAAATCCACAAGCGACTCCTGTTGGCGTACTTTTAAGTCTTACACACAAAGCCACTTACGCAACCTCACCGAAGGCCGCACCTAGAAAAAAAAAGAGAAATGACTTTGTTTTTGAACTGTTAACCTTGGTTAGGTGCGAAATCAAATGTGCGGTAATGTCATGCTTCAGATTTCACTTTATTAAAAAATAAAATTTCGTTACAGGATTGAGGAAAAACAAGACAATTGTACGTTTCACAAATACATAATTTATTACGGTCATGGTTTCGCCAGTAAAGGCAACATCAGGCGAAACCATGACCGTGTTAAATGATCTATATGTCAAACGTACAATTGTCTTGTTTTTCCTCAATTCTATAATTATGGAGTTTTACCAAGTACCGACGGTTTCAAGTATCAATCATATAAATTTTCGTTCTTACATATATATAAACTTCTGAAGTATAAAAAATGAAGGCCTAGCTCAAAAACTCGCATCTAAATCAACCCAAATTAATAACTAAAACACAAATAAGTTTTTTTTTTTTTTTTTGTAGCTACACAATGGGCTATCTGTGCTCTGCCTACCACAGGTTTTTAGCTTTGTAAGTCCACAGATATATTACTGTGCTACAAGAGGACCACAATAAGAATTATCACATTTTGTTGCTAAAAACAAACTGAAAATTGTTAACAATAACTGCTGCTAAGCCTTGGTTATCATGATATATTTAAAGAATAACAATTTAATATTTTCACTAGCTGTTATTAAATTATACACAAACCGATCACGAGAATAGGTGAACGCTGAAACAAGTACAGTTAAGTAGCATACATCACGATATTATTAACATATAATAATTAGAGTGAGTCTAAATATTGTAAAACCGTAACCTGTGCAAGGTTACACTGCGTACTTTACTATGTAGTCTTAAAAACAACTAACAGAATTATAGTATTTTGGCACTTGTGTATAAAGTTAAAATCATAAATAATATTCAATGTTAAACTGGTACACAATTAAAAACATTTTATTTAGGCCTATCTATGGCCTTCAAAAAGTTGACGACTCTATATGTTTCGACGATGGGGATTTTAACAACTAACATAACTTGAGTAACGAAGAACGTTATGCTAATATAACAATAGGTAGGCCAGGAACAATTTATAAGCGTAAGGAAATGTTTCGTCAAAAAAACTTTTCCTTATTCTTATAAATCGTTGTTTGCCTACCTAGTATTAAAACTGATAGTAATTTAAAGCTGGACAACGAAAGACACAATTGCTAGATAATGAGCCCAGCGAAGCGATTTCCAGCACTCACTACGGTTCAGCGATCTACCGAGACTGCGCAGGATGTGTAGTTTTCAAAGACAGAGTAGCCGTATATACCCCTACCTCTACCAAATTTACAAAATACCAGTACCCGTGAGGGAGAGTTGCATATATGTTATTAACCACCCAGTTTCGCTTTTTATAAATTCTTAAGTATCCCATTAATTAATATTAAATTAGTGAAATACTGAAAACATTAACTAAAGTAACTTTAATAAAAAGGTGTCTTACCAATTATGCGTCTGTCCCAGCAAATGGCACTGAGACATTAATAAATACTAGCTGGACCCGTGTAAATTCCACGAGTGTTGACAACTAAGATATCACCATTACTCTTGCATATATATTTCTGCAATTAAAATATATAATTGTAATGATATACATATTTTCATGGAAGCAACTTGAAGCTTTATTTAGTCATTTTTTTCTTACTTGTATATATTTTTTAATTAAAATTAGTTGTTGAGCCAAAATAGTTTCATTTGCCTTTGTATGTTATTATGGTTAATCTAGATACATTCCATAGGTAATAAATTACTTTAACAAAATTATATACTTTAATTGCAGAAATATATATGCAAGAGTAATGGTGATATCTTAGTTGTCAACACCCGTGGAATTTCCACAGGTCCAGTTTATATATAGAGGTGTGAAACTGGGTCCACGTCCTGCAGGTTAACAAAAATAACTAAAAAATTGTATTTCTCCAAAACTACTTGACCGATTTCCTTCAGATTGTAAACATAACTGACCAAAAATATGTTCTTTCACGTGTCCAAGCAGCAATGCTATCGGATTTACCATTGCGACATAATGATTTTTTTAGTGCCCCAGCAGGTTCTCGGTCAGAAAGCGTAACGGTCGTACATACAAACAAGTAGAATAATAGTATAGATATTACCTTAAACTAGAGTACTATCTCCCATTAATATGATGTGTATAATGTATATATTAATTTATATTTTTAAAATGAAGATACCTCTTCAAACTGTTTTTTTTTTAAGAAACGGTTAAAGCCCCCTAGTGGCTCAGCGGTAAGTCTGCAGGCTTACGACGCTAAAGTTTGGGTTTCGATACTTGTGGTGGGGAGAACACAGAAAATCCATTGTATAACTTTGTGCTCAACAACAACTAAAACAAAAAAAGGAGGAAAAAAAAAACAGAAATGGTTAAAACATTGAAAGTTTAAAATGATAAGTATCTAGGATCGACAAAAACTAACATCCAAATAATGGTTAAAAGAGAATGAATTTTCTACATTAGATGATATTCGTTTCATTCTTGTTTGTTATAGAAAATTTAAAAAGAAATATATTCAGTGAATTTCATAGAGATGACCAGTGTTTTACAGAAAATGTTTTTATGCAATTATATATTTTCCTCTCTTCAGCTGATATTTTAATGGTTCAAGTTCTTACTTTCGGATGTACCCACTCAATATAAAGATTCACGAATGAGACATAACCATTGTGAATACGAACCACTACAACAGATAATTAACACTGTACTACTTCCAAGTCTAGTGTCTTGTTTTAAATAATAATAATAAAATGATTCGTATGGTTTCCTCCCCATTAATTGGTGTAAACATGGTAGTGGAGTGAGAGAGCTTAGGTTGTCAAAACAAACGCCCTTAAAATTTGTTCGTCGCTCTGGGATGTTTGTACAATCCAGAAGAAACTACTCTCCCCATATTCGCCTCCTTTTTTTTTTCAACTTTTAATTAGTACTTGACTCCTTTTTTTTTTTTACAATTTATAATTAGAATTAATAAATACTTATACTCAGTGTAAATATCAATGCAATTATGTAAATGTTTAGTAGAATATACCTAATTATGCACCCAAACATATTTCATAATAAATTTTATATTATTTATTAATAGAAAATACTTTTTCACAACTATGAAGTAAAATAATGTTCTTCTATTCAGTTTTAGTTTATCTCTTTATTCTTAAATAATTTCACAAATTACTGATTGGATCTTTTTGTTCCATATATTATTGAATGATTAGGGCTGGCTTTCAGGTTTTTTAATTAATTAATTACTTTTTGTAAATTAATTTATTTAATAGTTTTAGTTTAGTTTAGAGGATGGGACAGTCGAGATAGACCAGTAGGCTCCTTGTTATCCCAAAATGTTATGTTGTATGTTTTACTTATCAAAGATTCCTGATAAATTCTAACTAACACTCGACCCAAATACTAAGTCCTTGTGCGTTGTAAATCATTTAATTAAATCATCCAGTGTGTTGCAAATCAATGATATATAACCCAAAGCTGTTAACCCTTACTGAATCCAACATAAGTTTAATAATTTTTAGAAAGTATATATATATATAAATTTCTAATACCGTATTGACATCGGTATTATATATAGTCAAAGTATATTGATAAATTTTGTGTCGATATTCTCATAGTATTTTATAATGCTTGGAGAAGGCTTGAATGGGTAATGAAGAAAAACTTTAATATAAGTTTAACATAACAGCAAATGTACAACGTTTCGACAAGGTTGTATACCTGATGATGACAAAACCTTGTTGAAACGTTGTACACTTGCTGTTATGTTAAAGTTTTTCTTCATTACCCATTCAAGCCGTCTCCAAACATTATTAGTCTCAAAGTTGGTTCCTCGTCATCGAATTTGAACTCATAATATTTTGTTTCATTTTCTATACTAGTGTCATCTGTCGCAAATATGGAAGAACTAAAGTGTTTTAAATACTATTTAAAATAGTAACAAACGACATACGTTTATTTTCAATGTTGAACTTAATACTAAATGTAATATTAATACTTTCAATGTATAGAAAAAAAGTTACTCAAATTAAATTATTTAACAGCTTATATGCTTAAAATTTCTAAATTGTTAAGAGTAGCACAGTTTATTATGGGTAAAGGTAGCAGAGAAGGATTGTTTTATGCAGTTCGCCGAGGAAGAGTCCCTGGGGTTTATTTCACCTGGTAATTATTTATAACTTAAGCCTAACATTACATAATGGATACTGATTTTATTTAAAAATCTTTCATTTCTTCATTACATTGTCATATATTTTGTACTTGCAAAACTTTTAATTAAATACCTCATCGTATGAAATAAATTGATATTTTTTAATGATCTACTAACATGTTATAAATACTTTGGCAATTGTCTTGTAATTCACTCCTGAGGATGACGTTGTAACGTCGAAAGATGTAGAGTCG